CATAAATACTAAATGACGTTGCCCAACAGGTTCAAAAGCTAAGAGGAAAGACTATAATACTCTTGGCAACTGCATGTTTCCCAACAAAATTCTTTTCCTACTAAATTTAATCTGATTCAAAGTCAGATACAAACCTGGCACCTCATAATGTAATTTTACAGTCTGGTCATGTTGCTCTGTGCTAGAAAAAGTCAGCAAGAGAAAAATACCCTACCAAAGCATCATAGCCTAGTATTATCATCCACAGGATCTGCACAGGCTGTAACACTGCTATTTTAACAAAGTTGCTATGCTGTCTTCCCAGATGTAGTCAGTCTCTGCTCACAGTGTCTTCCCTACTAGTTTTGCTTAAAATCTTTTCCTTTCAACCAGTTTGCAGTTTGGTACCCACCCATCACCTCAGACCCCTGGGTCTCTGTGGACTACTTACCAGGTGAAAGCAAAAGTGATCCAGGGTGACTAAAAGTGAGTTTAAATTTTCTGCATGGAGTTTCCCAACAGGTTTCTAAGCTGTCTGATACACAGGTCTCTTAACCCACTGATCTAGACCAGTGAGGCCACAGTGCTGACCACACATAACACAAGGACTTTTGTCCAAAAAGTGGGGGAGCTATGAAAGGACAGTTGTTAAAATCACAGGAGAACAATCATTCTGCATTCAGTGTCAAAAGCAAGCTCAGAGGGTGAAATAGAATCCTGGAGATCTGCCTAGAAAGACCCTGTCAGCCACTCTAATGTGTCACTGTCACAGACATACCAGACATCTCACATACCCCATGGCAAGGAACTGCAGCTTACCTGGTGCTACAGACCGCCTTTCCTTTTAGCATAGAGACGCCTGCAAGCACTCTAGTGTGTGCTGCTTCTTCTTGTCAGTCAACATCAGAAATAGCCCCTCCTGGAAGAGATGTTCATCTTGTACACCACTGCAGCCCAAAGCTGCTGGGATGTTTCTCCCCAGTCGTGCATGTGTTTCTAAGGCTTGCTATGGCTTGTGCTAGATCCCTAGCTGAGGGAGGGGTATCATGGTATTTACCTGAAAACCCCAGCAACAGAATAGTGCTTTGCACTCAGGTCGACCCCTGTAACATCAGGTTTTCTGCGAAAAGGCATCAAGAAGCATAGACCTGCTGCCCTGCAAAAGTAGAGGAGCTGCATCCAGGGAGTGGTCTAAGCCTCAGCAGGCCAGAGCAAAGGCAGTTTTCCCTTGAGGACGTCTCCAGGCAAAGCAGCTGCCACCTGCAGTCATTCATGCTCACTGGCACTGTAAGATGTCCCAGCAGGCCGCCAGGCTGCCCAGCAGGCACTGACCCTGCTCTCAAAGGCACTGCAGCTTCGGCTCAGCAGCATCAGACAGTTACTCACAGGCTGACAGGGCCCTGGGGGCTCTAGCAAGCAGCACACAGACTAAGCAGATGACACTCCATGCACCTGGAGTTGCTCACTTCCAGACACTGCCCCAGTGGAACAGGACATTCTTCCAAGGATCACTGTGTCCATCCAGCATCTCAGCAAGCTGCAAGCAGAGCCAGGAGGTATCATGACAGACATTTCATCTAGCAAAAGGGTCCATGAATAATAACTTGCTGTGTCTCCTCACCATATCACACTAGTACATGCAGCCATCCAAAGACACCCTGACTAAGACAATCTGAATTTGTAACATACATGAAAAATTCAACACCCTACCAAGCACTTATTCTCTTTAAAGCACATTTTTGTAGTGCTCACTGGAGCACCAGAGTGCCTATCAGAGAACCTGAGAAATGGAGGGACAGGTGGTTTCTCATATAATCCTTCCCACCAACCTGTGGGAATCTGTCGCTGAAGTGGAAGATTTCCTGCACGATAGGTGCATACAAAGCCACCTGGTGCAACAGAAATGGTCCTTATGCCCATCATCTCAGTATATGTCAGCCAGGTCAAACCTGTATGTTCAAATGCAGCACCCTTGCTTTCTTTCCAAGTACTCTGAATTTTATACAGGAGGTCGTTAAACATTTCTAAAATGAGTCATCCACAGCTCTTCTACACAGCCTGTTAGAAAAATGCATGTCAGTGCACATACCTTGGGACTGGCCCACAGGCAGCTCTGCACCAGCTAAATGAAGCAGAAGAGACAAAAATGTGGCTTTTTTTGGTTCACTGATCAAACCGTAAAAGAAGCCTATAAAAGAAATAAAGCTAGTTCAAGCCCAGAATAATACTGAAAAGTTTTGAAAAGCCATGAGGGGATACCTCTAAATCTGACCCTATCTAACACGTAAGAAGTGGTTAAGAAGGGCAGGAAATAAGAGCACAAGTGACTGTGAAATTCTAGCGAGTTACAACTTTTAAGAGAAGGACAAAAGTGAAGGGACAGCAACATCAGGAGAGCAAACAACTAAAAGCCCAGAATCTGGACATACCAATAGGATACCACTCAAAGGAAAAACCTAGTTTAGAAATATCTGGCAATTCCTTAACAGAAATGATGTGAAGGCATCAGTCAATCCATCTTAATGCCCAAAGGGAGGGGCAGCACAACAGCCTGGCTAGATCGCACTATCTTCAGTTCCCAGGCCCAAGAAGCAAGCATCTAAAAAATGAAACCAAGTCAAGTTACCAAGAGATGAACAACAATGTGCAGAAAGAAAACCAAAAACACAAGCCCAGAGAAACCAAGGCCTCCAAAGCATTCATCAGCTTCTTAGTAGCATTACATTCACTGGTGCTCAGCTTGCAGCTATAAATAGGCTGCCAGTTCAAAGATGAGGTGAATCCCTTCCTCTAGATAATCACATATGGAAAAAAGGCAAAGGAAGCTGTTCCCCTGGGCAGGCTGAAGAGCACTGCTACCCACTTACAAAAGCATGAGGCCTTTTATTAGCATGATTCCTTGGGTGTTATCACCCTACTCTTCCCTCATGTAAGATATAAAAGACTGATCAGAGATTCGACATCAGAGCGTCACTATTGCTCCAAATCATAGAATCATAGAACGGTTTGGGTTGGAAGGGACCTTCAAGATCACCTAGTTCCAACCCCCTGCCATGGTCAGGGACACCTTCCATAGACCAGGTTGCTCAAAGCCCCGTCCAACCTGGCCTTGAACACTGCCAGGGAGGGGGCAGCCACAGCTTCTCTGGGCAACCTGTGCCAGGGCCTCACCACCCTCACAGGAAAGAATTTCTTCCTCATATCTAACCTAAATCTGCCCTCTCTCAGTTTAAAACTGTTACCCCTTGTCCTATCCCTACACTCCCTGATAAAGAGTCCCTCCCCAGCTTTCCTGTAGCCCCTTTAAGTACTGGAAGGCTGCTATAAGGTCTCCCTGAAGCCTTCTCTTCTCTGAGCTGAACAACCCCAACTCCCTCAGCCTGTCCTTGGAAGGGAGGTGCTCCAGCCCCCTGATCATCTTCGTGGCATCCTCTGGACCCGCTTGAGCACATCCATGTCTTTACATTGAGGACCTCAGAGCTGGACACAGCACTGCAGGTGGGGTCTCACAACAAGAGTGGAGTAGAGGGGAAGAATCCTCTTCCTCAACCTGCTGGTGGAGGGGATGGAGATAAAGAGGTGAGGGGAGACACAGGTCCACAATACCTGGAGACCTCAGCAACTATCCAGTATCCTGGAAGCTGCACAGACCATCCAACATGCTCAGAGCACCTAGCCACACAAACACAAGGCACATCTCCAGCAGTGGTAGGGACAGGGATGCCCAGCTGTGCTGGGTTTGTGTGTGTGGTGGGGTTTTTGATAGCAGGGGAGGGGGCTACAGCAGTGGCCCCCTGTGAGAAGCTTCTCAAAGCTCCCCTGGTTCCAACTTGGACCCACCTTGGCCAAGGTTAAGCCAATTAGTGACAGTGGCTGCACCTTTGTGATAATGTATTTAAGCAGAGAAACCTGAGAGGAGGAGTGGGAGTTGTGAGGAGCACACCTATGCAAACACTGAGGTCAGCAGAAGAGAGGAGGAAGGAAGGGAGGGAGATGCACTGGTTCAGAGACCCCTGCAGCCCATGGAGAGAGGGCAAGCTGTGCCCCTGCTGCCCATGGAGGTCACTGGTGGAGCAGATGCCAACCCGCAGCCCACGGAGGACCCCATGCTGGAGCAGATAACTGTGCCTGAAGAAGGCCAGGACTCTGTGGGAAGCCCCTGTTATTGTAGTTTGGTGCTGGGAGGATTGCAACATGTGGGACAGACCCATGCTGGAGCATCTCAGGAAGAGTTGCAGCCCATGTGTCACATCCTGTGCAGTTGAGGGAAACAAGTGACTTAGACTGGTAAATTCCCAATGGAGTGGACAACAGTGAGACAAGTCTCAAAGTCCATATGCAGACATTTATTATTTCCCACAATGTACTAATTGGATATATGATAACTGACTAAGTATATAATGAATTATAACAAATGATATAGTATGCCTTGTGTTACCTAATGGAAATAAGGAAAAAGGGAAAAAATAATAGAGATAGGGGTAGAAATCACCAGTCCAGGTCCCTGTGTCAGTCCTGCTAATGAGAGTTCAAGAATGCATTCATCTTCTTCGCTTCACTACTTCCTTTTTACTCCTCACCCCCTCCTCAATATATAGACACTTTCCTTGGGTAGGTCTCCCAGGTTGACCTGCCTATCTGTGTATGGGGAGGAGTAAGGTGCTTCATGGGATGATGTAAGTAGCACAATCTTGTTAATCTTCATTAGCATATGCAGGGGTGTCAGCTTTAATATGCATTTCATGGATAATGAAACAAAGGTCATTCACCGGACAGATGGCCCTTGAAACTTTACAAGATGCACCAGAGCAGAACCGTCTTGTCTCCACAGGGTTCCCTCCCCCAGCCGCATCCTATACTATCCAGGCAGTCTTATCAGCTCCAGCCTCCACATTATCCACCCCGTGACTATAGCTTCATTACTTGCGAGTGTTTGAGACATTCCTCTGCTTGGAGGGCCTCCACTCTCCCCCAATCCCTTATCTTTACCAAGTCTTGTTTCTCATCCTTGTTTCTCTCAGGCTGTTTTTGTTGGTCCTTGTTTTGGGGAGTCACAAGTCATCTCTTACACAGTGGGAAGGACTCATGTTGGAGAAAGTTTGTGGAAGACTGTCTTCTGTGAGAGGGACACCATGCTGTAGCAGGAGAAGAATGTGAGGAGTCCTCCCCCTAAGGAAGGAGTGGTGGGGCTGACCACACCCCCCATTCCCTGCCCCCTGTGCTGTAGGAGAGGAAGACGTAGAGAAATTGGAACCACAGCTGAGCCCAGGAAGAAGAAAGGGGTGGAGGGAAGGTGTTTTCAAGATGTGGTAATAGTTCCCACAGTCCTATTCTCTCTGTTAAGTGTTGTTGTTGTTAGTGTTTGAATTAAATTGATGTTCTTTTTCTTCCCCTAATGAATCTGTCTTTTGCCTGTGACCATAATGGGTGAGTCATCCCTCCCTGTTCTTAGCTCAATTCCTGAGCCTTTTGCTTTTTTTCCTTCCAATTCCTGAGTGGAAATGGGGGAATGAGCAGCTCCATGGTGTTCAGTTGCCCTCTGGGCTCAAACCAGGACACTAGCCCAAGAGCAGCAGTCCTGCCTGTTGCTGGGTAGGAAATGCTCAGAGCTGCTCTCTGGACCAAGCTGACACAGGAGAAGCAGTTCCACCACTGTCACTGCAGATATAGTATGCCTCCTCCCAACACCCGCACTAGAGCAACAGCCCAGCATCACCAGGATTCCCGTATTCAGCCCCGTGTGTCCTACAGTACATAAAAAATCTAGGCCCCCTCAGCTCCCTACCAACAAGCACTCATAGCCAACACAGCATTTCCCAGAGCCATGTCACGATACAGGGAAATCCCACCCCATCTTAAGTGAACCTTTTGTCCACTGCGACCCTGGCAACACTGTCTGGAAGAACCATTTTGTAGTATCACTGGGGCTGGCTCCAGTATCAAGTACACTGTCACACTGAGGGAACAGGAGTATAGTTTGGTCCCGTCCACAGAAGCAAATACCAGTCACTGAGGCCCTCTGATGTCACCTACATGTAAAGATGCTTGTTTAAAGGGAATAACGAGTTGTGATGAGCAATTCCACACAGGACAACGTGGGTCTTTACCAACCTGAAGTGCAGTCAACTCTACTTTGTACAAGGAGGAAAGACAGCCCAGGAACTCATGTAGCGACAGGGAGAATCAGAATAGGTTTGTAACCTGAAAGAAGGAAGAAGGTCTGGAGGTCTCCCTTTCAAGGCACCTGCCATTGATGGAGGAGGCTTTTGCTTTAGAAAGGCTAAAGAGCATTGCTACTCAACCACAGAGGAAATCACTGCAGTGCTTTTGAGTAGAAAGTCAGAGGTAATTATTGAGGTCCACAACCAACTACTGCTGTGATTTCTAGTACTTATCTGTCAACATCCATGTGAGGCTAAACAGTGTGATTTCAAACTGCCATGGTAGCACCCATTGCACACTATCTACAGCTGGCTTCCATCTGATGAAGGGTATATGCCAAGCCAGCACTAGTTTCGTTTTTTTAACGTCTACTAAAATTGCATTGGCAAATTTAAATACGGCTTTACAAGAATAATCCCTGCTTAAAATTAGAATGTAATTAGAAAAACATGTACAGGTTAGTTAAAATTGAACCTCACTGAAGTTACTCCTGCCCTTATCCAGAATATATACAACCCTGCCACCCTTCACGTTGCAACAGGCAAAACATGTGCAGCACTGAGCCAAGGTATGTCTTAGCCGTGGGACAAAATTTATCTTCTTAAAAGCAACTAACTCTCCAGCACTGTCATAAGGCACAAGCTGAGCTGATCATACCCTCGTCAAAAGTGAATGCTCTGCATGTAGAAATCAGCCTTGTTCAGTGCAGGGTTTTTGTGAGCTTTTCTGCAACTTGTTTTGTTTCATCTGCACACAATTGTATCTAATTATCCCACATATCCCAAGCGATCCAGCTTGGATGACTTCAGAGTTCCATGTCAAAGGGGCTTCTAGGCAGCATCCATCCATGATCTGTGTCATCAAAGGAGATAAAAGGTGACAGCAAGGACAGGATGGGAACAAACAGCACAATCAAAGGAAGGAAGAAGGTTCACAACAGAAGAGGCAAGAGCAGACCACCATAGGCAGAACCTGCCACTTCTGGAGAAGCCAAGAACAAATGGAAGTCAGCAAGTCCTGCAAACACAGCACCAGCCCTTGAAAAATCACATTCTCAGGACCTGCAGTTCACAGGGCACAGTCCTCTGGACCAGGATTTTACAACTTCACCTTGCTATTAAAGCACACAGTCCTGCCCAGACCAGATTAATTGGTCACAGATGCACAACTAACACTTTTCAGGTGGGTGCACTTTCTGGGCACCACACAACAGAAGCTATTCATCTGGGCTGAGAACCTCCATCCTTCAGTAATCTTATGTCTCCCTTCAGATTTCATTACACTTGAGCCTCAGTACAGCAAGAATGTTTGCAAAAAGCTCTTGTATTTAATCTCCTCTGTAACAGCCTTCTTCCAAAGCACATGTGCAGATAAAAGCCAAGCCAGCACTTCTTAGAGCAGACAGAAAAGTTAAGATATTCTATTCAAATCTTTTAGAAAAGAGAAATACACCTAAAAAGTACATTGAAACTTTAACAATCATCCTACTATACAGCTAATAAAAACTATTTTCTGTGAACTTAAAAAAAAGTTTTTGCAGTAAAAATGCTTCATATCTTTAAAGAACTCAAAGTGAGTACAGGGAACTCAGCAGACTGACATCTGGAACCAGAGTTAGCTGAGAGCCAGCCTGTCTTGACAGGCCTTTCCTGTCCTGGGTGCACGGCGAGAATATCTCTGCAAACAGAAATTGGCAAGCTGTGGAGTTGAGAAACCCAACTGGAAGCCAGAAAAAGCAAAAAGCTGGGTTTCCTCTCTGAACCTCCAAGTAAAAGGGGAAAGCATATATGATAAGATCTGCTAGCTTCAGACTCTTGGAGGGCACTGAACAGAATCCAGTGGTTTCTGACTACTCAGGAATAATAATCCTCCATCCAGTTAACTGGGCTTTCTATATAGAAACATGTTCTGACGATCGTTCTTATAATCCAGTACATCTAAAGTAGTTCTAGTGAGCTAATTTTAAGGGACTGACTTTGAAGATTTTAACTTAACTTCCACTTCCATACAAAAGCAGATTAATTATTTGTGAATTTTCAATCTAGTAAACATGAAGTGAGTCACTCCCTCACTTTAAAAACAATTAAGCTAGAAATGATTATGCTGAATAACACTATAATTTTTGTAGGGCTGCAGAATGAAAGACCTCAGGGAGTTCACATGTGCTTGGATACACTTTACCTTGGTGATAAACTGATCCTAAACCTATGCTGCTGTCAACATTTATACTATAGATAAGCAGTAAAGGACTTTCCAGAATGGATTACTGACTTAAATCTGCTTCTGTGAGAAGGTACATTTTTTCATATATCTGAGATGCTCCAGAACGTAAGAAAGCATAAGCAATGCTGCAGCAGAGCCCTGGGGAGCCTGCTAGCAGTAGCAGCAGCCTTACTATTAGCATTTGGTACTCCAGCTCCAATCCATTTTGAGGAAGGCGAGCTTATGTTGTCTGACAGCGTTGCATGCTTCTCTTCTTGCTACCAAAAGGGACAAGGGACCCAACTATCATCCAAGCCTCTGAGGACTCCTATTAGCAGCATATAGATCTCAGAACTCTTGTCAAAGAGGCTTGGAGTCTATTGCATTTGTGCTGGCAGAAGTCACAGATGAATGCACATTGCCAAAAGTGATTAACACAAAGATGCATTGACCTTGTTGTGTTTAAACAAGATTCTCTTCGTTGGCCCAATATTTTTAGGATAAATCCTAGTGAGTTTTCTGAAGGAAACCTGTCCCCTGGCAAATGTCTTTATGATATGAACTGGTGAGGATCTTGAATTTATGCCTCCAGCTGAGTCTGGCATTTTAAGACCTCTACATTTGATGCTTTTGATCTAGATCTGGACTTCAGTCCCAAAGCATTGGCAGAGCAGGAGACTGAGGTTGTTTTCTTGGCACATTACTTCCATATTCAAAGACTAGTTACTGGGCTAAGAATTGGCAGCATGAGAAACTCTTGCTCACATCACCCAAAATCAGTTCTATACACAGAGAATGGCATAAAGCCATCAACGCTCATGAAAAGCTGACCTGCCTCACTAACATAAACCAAACTTGCTTTTCCCATTTTGGAAGCAGATCAGCACCTTCTGGAAGAAGCAACATTGAATAAATTTCTTTCACATTTGAGGAGCTAAAAAATTCAGCACCCACTTGGCTACCAGCTATGCACATTTGCAAAGATTAAGAGAAAGGTTAGACCTATCTAAATGCTGATTGCCCTCAGCAATGCAAGGACAGGTCTAGCTACTACAACTGAAGAAGCTGCTGTTGTTCACAAGGTTTCTCCTCCAGCCAGCCTTATGCACACACTTCTCTGTTATAAGTACAGTCATTCTTAAAAGGAAAGCATTTTTGTTCTACTGTACCACGGTCCTGGGTACAGTACAAGCTTATAGCAGGACACACTGATGCCCTCCAAGACTTGTCAGTCCATACCCTGCAAGTCCAAAAGTCTGTTAAAAAGCCCATCTCCAAGGTAGCAAAACCTCAGACACACTATGCCACACTCACCAATGTCTTCTGCAGGCTGCAAGTCACTGCGCCAGCCAGTGTCACAGGATAAGCCCCTCCTCGTCCATGTCCACACTTCATTTTCTGCTGTGGCAAGCTCAAGCAAGTCCATCCTGTAAGCTGCTGCTTTGTGTAGCAACGCACGAATACAGCCCATGCAAATGCAAGCGTGCCCACAGCCAAGCGTCTCTCTTTGCCTACCTTTACCAGAATGTGAGCAATGTATGTCCAAAGACCCTTTGCAGGCACTGCTCTGTCTCCAGCACATGACACAGCCATGAAAATGAGATGGGTATAGAGAGGAAGGCCAACTTGCTGTGAACCACTCCCATTGTGGGCTGGCTTGTATTGTGCCATTGCTGAGGAAAGGCAGATCAAGGTGTGGTGGCAAAAGTTCCTCCCACCAGAGCACTCATCTGACAGCAGCAATTGCAGATCTTTGAAGACCTCTCAAGTAAGAGGAAAGAGACCCATCTGGAGCGGGCTCAAAACACTCCTGCTGGGAGAATGGGTACAAACAAGAGCTACTCAAGCCAGCCAGGTTGCCAGAAGAAGTTCAATAGTTATGCTCAGCTTGTGTTGAGCCTGGTCTGAAGTGGGCCCCGTGTTTCTTTAACTGAGCAAATTTCCCTTCCACTGATGTACTGGAAGACAAGTGACACACACATAACTGCCCTGGCTCTTCCCCTCAAGATAAAAAGCAACTAAG